CAAGGATGACTAAACCAATGACTCCTACAACTGAATAAATGAGCTCTTTTATTAATGAAAGCAAGGGCCTTGAAATAAATAGGAGAAACAAAATGAGAGGGCATTCAGAAGAGATGGGTACGCATTATCTTTCAAATTATACTCCACTGAAGGTTACTGTTAACAATTGAAGCAATTATGAGCATCCAGCAGAGAGGCATTTATATTATGGGACTATGGCTTTGAAAACATTCAAATTGTTTAAAACAGCCATCATGATTTATCTTTTGTTTTAACTATTTCCACTTCTCATACATTTCTGCAAAGTCAAACATAGTACAATGTGTACTACTACTTACTGTACTTATTCCAGGCAATAAAAGTTTCAGTTTAATAAATTTGCTAAAAGGAATCTGAAAATTTTTGGAATTGGGGTGATTTGTGTAGTACTAATATGCATACACATACACACACACACACACACACACACACACAATATTCTAAGCAATCTACTTATGGATATTTTAAGAACATAATATTGGAAAGTTGAAATGCCTTTGTATGTACAGGTGTTTTCTTCCATAAACCAAATATGATTCTTCAGGGCTTAAGCACATTAGACTAGTTTCAATAATTATTCTTCTATTCCTCCAATTCAGACATAAAGAGTCCATTTTCTTGACAGTGAACCAAAATCAATAGTACCTCTTGTGTTATTTGAGAAAAAAATAGACATTTCTCTGTGACTTTTCATTGAACCTCAGACTGTGGCACGATGAACATAAGATCATTAGACAACTCTAGCCAAGCTTCATGGCATTCAGAAATTGGCTCTTTGATGGAGAGTCTGAAGATTTATTACACAGTAAGAAAGGCTAAGAACATTTCCAAGACACAACAGGAAAGCATGACAAATCATGTTTCTAAAGAGAAATAAGACATATAGTAAACATCTATGAAGAACATGTTGCTGAAGAAATCATTTAAACTTCTGTCTTGATAGTATTCAGTCTCAAAGGCCAGTTTTTGGCATTCATTTAACTGATTTCAAATGATTGGATAACGTAAATCTGGGTGGATTAAATCAGTTTAGCTTGCTTCAATTTTATTTGTTTCTGATGTATCTATTTTAAGTTCCCCGCTTCCTGACTTAAGATTTTGAAGGGTGCCCAGTTATGACATGTAATAGCACAGGTAGTTCTCAAGTTATGACAATTCACTTAGTGACAGTTCAAACTTACAACCCCTTCCCCAAAAGTAATTACAACCCATTCCTGAAGTTATGAATGTTGCAGCACCATGGCAGTGGTTTGCCCTATACAACTGACTGCAGAGACGCTGCAACATGCCCCCTGCCTATTTCCCACACACGCACACACATACGGACACACACACAGGGTTTGCATAGGCACTGGGTCTGCTATGCTAGCCCATCGGCTCCTCCTGATTATGTCACCGATTGATCACTTACCTTTTGAAGATCTGCACAGGTGGCCAGCTTCTCAGATGCTGGTGAAGCTGTTTTCATTACATCTTGTGTTCTTACATACCCTACCATCCCCTTTGCAAAAGCTGGAGGCCTGCCGGAGCACAAGATCGCATTGTTGCAGGTCTCCATCATCCACTGGACATGCTTTTTCCAAAGGGGACACAAGTTTTAAAGAAAACAGCTTTACCTGCATCTGAGAAGATGGCCATGAATTCTGCTGATCTTCGAAAGGTAAATGCGGAGAAGGCCGAAGTAGCTGTGGGGATCCTAAGGGGTGGGAAGGGGAGAATGAGATATCTCAGTGGGTATGGGGAGGCCTTGAGTGGCCAGAGGCAGGTGGTCTTTTCCTGCACTGCTCCCCCCCAGTCTTCCCCACCCAATGTACCTCATGCGCAGTTAATGACCCATGCATTCAATTAACAAATGCATTGGAGAGATGGGGTTCATTCAATTCATTCAATTAATGTTACAATCGTAATGGGCAGAGTCCATTACAGTTGTGAACTCGAGGACTATCTGTACTATGGCTCATTCATGAAAAAATATTTTATTTATACAAACGTTTATAAACCAACTTAGTTCACTTAAACAGAAGGTCATCTTATGTTTTGCACGTGCAAATGAGCCATCAGAAATGCAGTATTATAGATAGAACTTTAATATACCCAACCAACTCAAAGACAAAAGGTGTTTATGAAGAATTGAGAGACCACATGCAAGCTAAGATTCTGAATCAAGCTATGCATGTCTGAACCAATTTATTGAATTCAGAGCTCTCCTTATTTTCCAATTTTCAAAGGAAATAATTCATTTGTATAGAAACTGGCCAAAGTAGAGTGAGCACAGACCAGAAATATTTTTTCTCAAGAGTGTAATTCATTATTAATAAGAAAATATCTCATTAATGACAGAAGCACGGAGCACAAAGAAGGATTTTACCCAGCAGGGATATTACTGAAGTGTAAATGCATGCTTTGGATACACTGGATATATGTACATCTCAAGTCTTAGTTGTATCTGTGCAAGTATGATCAATGATACAGTGTGGGAGCAGGGGAGTTACTCTTACAAATATTA